TTCAATGATTGTTAATGAAAAACAAATGATTCATGTAGCTTGCATTATTATGTTAGAAGGAAAAAAACAACCAATACGACTTCGAATGTTTTTATCATAAGACGTTTTTTTCCCTGTCTCTTTACTCAAGAGAGTTGGTGTAGAAAGATTTCAATAACTTATCATACACAAGAAATCTGATGCCAGAAATATTACTTTAGAGGATATTCATAGAGAACATTTATCTATTGTTAATTATTACTGTCAGTGGCCATGTTGATCATGATTCATATCCATGAAAAAAATAATGAATCACATTGATTAATATGCTATCAAGAAAGCATTACAAACTAAAAAAATCTATTGATGAAGCCCATGAAAAATTGAAATTAAAAATATAAGTGAAACGGGTAATGATAATTGGCCGAAGCGGGAGCTGAAAACCGAAGCAGCCTAATACGCTGTTTGGTTATTTTACTTACGAAGACCTAGGGTTTTAAAATCACCATTCATCCTTTGGCCTCTATATTGTCAGAACTGTGGTAGAAACCAGAACTAAGAAATCTTCTAGTAGATAAAAAAAATTCTTAAATCTATTATTTAAAAAAATACTAAAAAATCTGGTCATTTTTGATTGAAAATCGGACAAAACTTAAAATATTTTTTCGAAAACAAAGAAAAGTTCGTCCGAAATTTTCCAGAAATGAGAGAAAGTTGTTCTTAATTTTACAAAAGCTCAGGGGTATCCTTCCCCAATTCTTCCTGCCCCGCTCGCACGGCCCCTGCATATAGCTGCATGATGAACACTATTGAAAGGATCCAATAGCATTCACAACGCCGATATTTTATTGTATTTTAAGACTTGCCAAAATTAAAGAACAAAAATGCATGAAAAAAACTAGTGACAATGAGCAATAGTTAAGCTTTTCATTCACTAGCATCCCTCAGATATCTAGTTTCCTTAGTGGACATTTTCGAAGAGTTCAAATGGTGTTCGTCATAGAGAAGTTATTCTGTAATATAATTATGAAAATGACTAACATACTATTGATTGATGCAGAAAAAAGTCTCGTCAAATTCCCGCAATTTTTTTTCGGTTATTTCCAACAATAATGACTGGAAAAATCGTCGATTACGAATCATTGGTATTAGTCACGTCCCCTGTTGAAAACAGCTTTCTGATTGATCAAAATAATCTGACCAATAATAATACAGACAAGACCCATAGGAAATAAATAATGTCAACATTGCGTATTATTATGACTCATTCTTCCTAGATCGTAAGTAAGCAACCATGATTAAAAAGTTCTTTCTTTTTTTGTGAATTGTCGCCATCATTCTAGAAGGATCCAAATTTTCTGGCATAATATAATCCGTAGAACGTGTTGGCCATTTTCGCTGGATAAAATATAAAACATCTTCAAGGGAGGATCTACTCTAATGAAAGAGAATATGCTCTATTAAAAAGAATAATTATTATACCTTTCGACTATAAAAATACTTTTTCTCTTACAAAATTGCTTCGAATTAAATATAAATCTATTTATATTTAATCTCATATTTTAGTTAAATTATGGATTATTTGCGATCAAAACTCTCGAAAAAAAAACACAATAAAGTCAATGAATCATCAGCTGGTGCTGCTTGTGCTTCTGCTGTAACTGATGATGAAAATCAATCAGACAATGGATTATCTTTTGAATATTTTCAAATGCAATTAGTATTGGATTGTTTAATGAGAATACCATATGATACAAGTGATTATGAAGAACTTATTGCCTTGTGTTATGAACAAATTAATGACAATCAAAATGAATTACATATGTTAAATGAATTTAAAAGCAAATATTCATCTGATCGTGCTTTATGGTGGTATCTTCAAGAATGTTTTTTATATAAAATTTTAAATTATTCACTTGAAAGTCAAGATATTCGTAGTTTATTTTTATTTCGACGAATTCTTCGTGATATTGAACAACAAATGCAACAACATAAATGTTCAACACCATTACATGTTTATCGAAGTCAATTAATGCCAATTGAATTACTTGATAAATGGATAAGTTCAATTGGACAATGTGTTGTAATAAATTCATTTCTTTCAACAACAATCAGTTCCGAAGTAGCTCTTGCTTTTCTTAATAATAGTCAAACAATAAAAGATGATTTTTGTCGAGTATTAATCGAAATTGATGCTGATCCTCGTATACTTGGCTCGAAACCATTCGTTCATATTGGTTCACTTCATGTTGGTACTGATAAAAATGAAGTACTTTTCATGTTTGGTTCTGTATTTTTAATTAATAATATTACTTGTGGAAATGATGGTTTATATACTATTGAAATGACATTATATAGTGATAATGATCATGAATTTAAACAAGTATTTGATGATATGAAAACGAAATATGGTGACGGTGAAATAAGTCTTCTTACATTTGTCCAAGTATTGTATGATTTAGATAAATTTGATGAAGCTAAAGAATATATAAATAATTATCTCGAAGATTTACCCGCAGATCATAATGATAAACTTCGATGTTATAACTTACTTGGTTCGATAGCTTTAGTCCAAGTAGATTTTGAAACAAGTCTTATGTGGTATAATCAAGCACTTGAATTTCAAATGCGAAGATTACCTAAACTTGATGATCCAAAAATTGCAGATAGTCATGAAAATATCGGTGACGTTTATTGGAAAAAAGGTAATTTACAATATGAAATTTTATCGCAATTTTTGTTCGAGAATAGTGAAATTATTTTTTAAAATTTTGTATGGACAGAATTTGTGAGTCGACGTTTCCGATGAACATGTTTGCTCATTTCTATCTCCTTAAAAACATTTCAGACAAGTCAAAAACTATAGATCGTGACTAGATTTTTAATATGAAATTTTGAGAAAGCCATCCAAGTTGATATCTTGCGTTTGATATGAGATCTCAGTCATTACATAGAATCTGCTAAGACTAGAAGAAAACTAGCCAGATTCTTACTGATGCGCCGCCATTTTGAAGTTATGGTCGTTACACTGGACTTTTTACCTGTAGCACAGTATTTATTAGAAAAACGAGCAAGCGAACTTTGGTTTAAAACTTCTCCCGTAGACAACTCTTGAAGTCATTGAAATCTTCTGACTTTTATAGCCAAATAGAGTGGTCTATGCTCAATATATCAAATCCATAGAAAAACTAGACATCTGATCCTTTTGGTGGAATATCTTGATATTTTATAGATTCAATATATATCGAGAAGAGATCATCATTTTTGGTCTGAAATTTGAAGGAGATTCTAATAACTCCAAGAATTATCTACTGGCGAAGTTTTAGGCGAAAGTTCGTTGTCCATCTTTTTTATTAATATCGTGTCAATCAGCAGGCTCTACGTGTAAAGACTGAGATCTAGTCTGAACCACAAGGTGTCACATCGAGTTGCTCTCGTTAGAAATTTTCTGTCTATTTTGGTTCAAGTATAGTGGAAATTTATTTTTAACAATGAGCCAATAGATTTTTTATTTACCGTATAGGTCCGTTTTCTTATATGTTAAAACTGCCAGAGTCTATCGTTTTGTAGAACGAATATTTAGGAAAAACAAAAAATTGAAGTGCTTTGTCAAAAAGAAAAACTTTAAGTAATATATTTTGTCGGCTAGCTTCTGATATACAAGCTGATATATAAGTAAAGATCCAAAATATTAGTTTTGAATCGCATGGAAAATACTTTTTAGTAGGTCAAAAGTGAACAGAAAATCTTGTCTAGAAACTTTGTAATCATCCATCATTTATTGATATTTAGGTTCGTACGATCTTGCACTGAAACATTATTCAACGTCATTGGAAATCAAAACACAAGTACTTCCTCCTCAGCATCAGTCTATTGCAGCAACTCTTGAAAATATCGGTCGTATTTATGAATCCAAACGAGATTTTTCACAAGCACTTTCATATTTTCAAAAAGCAAGTTCTATTTATCGTCGTGCATATTCAGCAAAACATGATAAAGTTGTTCAGATTGATGAACATATTCGACGTATTACGAATGATTCTAAATAATATAACCTATTCCGATTTTTGAAATATGTCTTTTCACGAGAACATCTATCATTCCCGCTTTAATTGTACTTTATGTATTATTACTTTGTTTTTTTTATTCTATAACTCAACTAACATATATCCAAGGTATGTTTAAGTGTTAAAAAATTCTAAATAACTGAATTTATTTGATTATGAAAAAGAAATATGATTTAGTAACTCATACTTGTATGTTATTAAACTTCATTATAATTTGAATAGTCTTTAAAATATACTATCGAATTCCATTGAATTTTCTACATCTCTTCGTCATTTACAAATGTTTTGGAACAATTTAATGTATCTTGAACGAATTAAGTTTATATTATTACAACGAACAAGATTATAATAATTTAGATGGAATAGCAAATGATCTTCTATCGATTTAAAAAGGGTTGTTTCATCGACGAAACATCCATTTTCTTGATATTTGAATAATTATACTACAAGCCAGATATTCACTTTTTTTGACTGTTATCTCTTTGCATATCAACTTTTCTCAACAAAGTTTTCATGTTAATAGAATGAGATAATTATTTGAAAAAGAAAAAGTTGAAATCTTGATTATCGCCAATAGAAAATAATCTCAATATGTAATTTATCATCGATAGCTTTATAATTTGAATTACAGAATTTTTGTGATAAGAAATCAGAGCTCTCGATAGATGGCAGTTTCATTCAATCATCAAGAAAAAGTCATGTGCTTTGATAGATTACTTGGAAATAAGGTTTTTTTTTTTTTTTATTGATAATTTTTTTCCAAGATTATATTTTATAGTGAAAATCAATTTCATGAAGATCTAATAATTAAAGATACATTATATTTATTGATTGAGTTAATTAACTTTCAAATAGTAAATATGACTCATCAATCACTAACATCATTAAACGGTTTATGTTGTTGTTTTATTTTTAAAAATACGTCATATATCCTGGAAGACAATAATCAAAGATATGACTGATCAATCAGATATGATTGAATTACCAGCTATACCAGCTGATGCACCTGAATGGGTTCGTGCATTACCATCAAATGGTCGTTTCGTTGATCGAACTAAACTTTATGATATAACTGGTCATCTTTTATTTGATTCATTACTTAATTCAAATGGTATTCGACATTTCTTTTATTTTATGGGTACTGAAAAACAAGCAGAACGAGTGTTAAAAGCATTTAATGGTTTACCAACGAGTCCACCGGCATATGATGACCCAACAAATCAAGACAGAGGAGAAGTACATGTTGCTTTTCATCTTGGTCCAGGTATTTGTGGACATAAAGGCATTGTGTAAGTTAAGAAATTTTATTTATATTATTAATTTTAATTAAGTTCATTTTTAATAGACATGGTGGACTTACGGCAACAATGATTGATGAAGTTAGTGGTGCTGCTGCGTAAGTTGATTTTAGTCGAAATGAAAAAGAAATATTAATTATGTCTTTCAATAGATTCTCTTGTGTTGGTCCTTGTTTTACGGCTAATCTCAATATTGATTATATAAAACCATTATTAATACCAGCATGGGTTTTAGTTCGAGCTCATGTTGAACGTCATGAAGGTCGTAAAGTATATGTACATTCTTTCGTTGAAAATGGCGAAGGTGAAATTTATGCTAAAGCTGTTGCTCTTTTTATTAAACCAAAAATGTCCGTACAAGAACATATTCAACAAAAATAATCATTCAATTTTAGTTTGGGTCTTTTTTCTTTGTTTCGTCTAAATGTAATGTGTTCTAGTCGAATTTATTCATTTCGATGTGTAGGAAAGTGTGACGAAAAATTTTAAGATTGAATCTCCTCGAATAGATGAACACAAGTAATAATCTTTTATTGTCAGCATAATTTTATTTATTTATTTATTTAATTGATCTGAACAAAAAATAAGACTTATATATTGAACAAATTTCTATCATTGTTATCTATTCGATGAAATATTCTATGTTAAAATTATTCGAAACTATAAATTAAGAATCTCGTCATTCAAATATTTAGATTCATTCCTTTGATATTATTTTGTCTTGTGTTGTTTTATATTTAATTTCGCAAGTAAATGTCAGACAATATCCAAATAAAAAAAAAAAAAACCACCTATTATATATTCTTTTATTTATCTATGTAATTATATCTTCAGATACATATATATTAAAAATAAATAATGTGTTTTATTCTTCGACGATAAGACATTCGACTAGCAATAATTATGCTCCAGTTTTTATTTTACAAACTAATTACATATAAAAATTTTCTTTTCATATGAAGATAATTAATGTTTGCTGTTATCAAACAATGTTACATTTTCTAGCTAAAATTGTTTGTTTATTATTATTTATATTTATTTATTGTGAATTTTTGATTTATTATTTTGTTTTGTTGGGTTGTTCATGGCCACAATTATCTAAAATTGATCAAGATTTCACTGTTAAACCACCAAATGATCCCAATAAGAAACCATTACATGTTATGTTTATTGCTGATACTCATTTACTTGGTTCACGTGAAGGTCATTGGTTTGATAAATTACGTCGCGAATGGCAAATGTATCGTTCATTTCAATCAGCACGATTTCTATTTGAACCACATATTATTTTTTTTCTTGGTGATATAACTGATGAAGGTAAATGGTGTTCCGATCATGAATGGGAAAAAACTGTTAATCGTTTTCATTCATTATTTTCCATTCCAACAAATACAAAATTGTATGTACTTGCTGGAAATCATGATATAGGTTTTCATTATGATGTATCAGATGGTCGTTTAGAACGTTTTGAAAAAACATTTCAAGCTCCACATGTACGTTTAATAACAATTGATGATGATAATATTGATTTTATATTAATCAATTCAATGGCATTTGAAGGTGATCAATGTCGATTATGTGCACGTGCTGAAAAACAACTTGATGAAATTGTTAATCATCTTCATCGATCTGAAACATCAGCTAAACCAGTGTTATTATCACATTTTCCACTATATCGAGTGTCTGATGCTAATTGTTCACTATGGAGACAAGTAAAAGAAAAACTCGAGTTTTATCATATATTCAATAAATATATTTTTATTTGTAGTCTTCTTCTTCTTCTTCTTCTTCAAAATTTGTTCCACATAAACAACGTTATGATGTTTTATCTCAAGAAGCATCTGAAATTTTATTAAAAAAAATAAAACCACGACTTGTATTTACAGCTCATACACATGATTTCTGTTATACAAAACATACCGATACGAAGGGTAAAATAATTCCTGAATGGACAGTTCCATCATTTTCTTGGCGTAATCGTGATGATCCATCATTGATGCTGTTATCAATAACAACAAATAATGAACGAGTATCACATTGTCGTTTACCACGTGAATCTACTGTTTTTTGGTCATATGGTATTGGTGCTTTTCTTTTGATTTTTTATATACTATTCGGAGGAAGAAGACCATTTGGTTTATTTGCTTTTTGTTTCCTAAGAAAAAGAATTAAACTATAAAAAGAATATCTTTACAAATAAAGTCTATTAGAATTATTAATAAATATTAATAAGTATGCAATTATTTGGATGAAAATTGGTTTTACTCATAGACTTATTTATACGTATATATATATATATAGTTTCAATTAATAATCTTTGACAGTAAAATGACGTAGAAGAATTTTGAGGAAATTGAAATTTTATATTAACTTGATTAGAATTACAAAATTTTATAGGAATTATATAAGATTATTGAAGAATTATATAAGCAAATCTTAGAAAGAAAAGAAACTAGAGATCACATGATGATCATGTGGTCTATTTTAAAATTTATGAATTATACAATAATGCTTGAAAAGTTATATTTGTTGACGATCAATTTGATGAGAGAGTTTGCAAGTTGTTTTTTTTTTTTTTAGTTTCGGTTTTAGTTTTAGACATCGAAATAATTCAATGATTTCTGGTTGAGAAATTTCTGTGTTCAACAGAATGAATATATCTCCTACAAGATAGATGAAGTTCGTGATATAAAACAAGAAAGCTCTTTTTGAAAGATCAACCGTTTCAATATCTAATTTCAAGCTTCATCTATACGATCTTCTAAAATATTTGTTTCTCCATATCGCTGACCTCTTATTGTTTCTTTTTTTCATTAAATCTTAATATTTGCATGACTTTCAAACATCATGATTCTTATTAATGTTACATAAATTAATTACCAAGCATTTATATTCAATAATAGTATTCTGTTGGTATATAAAATATTATCAGTAGAAAGAATACTTATGAAGAAACATTCCCATTTGTCTATTCGTTTTCAAGTAGAGACTATGTGTATTACATAGATTGTAACGAATTCTAAATACCTTGAAAAGAATTCGTGTCTCTTTTCTATTGCTTTCGACACATTTATTTTCACTGCATTTTTTAACACATCAGTGTGGTTTCCCTTCGATCAAGAGGGTAATGGTCTATTTGGTATTATGAATGCGGAGAGAAAAAACACATCCATACTCTCTTTCGATTCTCTCACGATGGTTTTTTCCCATCCTAAGTTGAAATATTGTATTGTCACACACATTTAATTATTTTCTATTTTTTTTTCTCGATCAGGAGACAAGGTATAATGTTATTATTGCAATTGAATTGTGCAATTTCAAAGAGTCATGTGAGCAAGAAAACGCAAATATTTTCATGTCGCATATTTCTTTTATAAAATCAGCAAGATTTGAAAGTGAACCTCACTCATCCAAACATCTTTCTCGTGTTGCTTGTTTTTATTTCATATCAAACTTTGCCAATGAAGAATTGTTTAGATGAGTTTTGAAAAAGTCTATTCTATATTCTTTAGATGAAATCTACAGAGGAAGAAGGGCTTCATTCTGATCGTGTTCGAGGACCACCTGAGATCGATTTCAGTGACCTTCAATGCTCAATATGCCATAATATCCTGTGGAAACCAATCGGTTGTCAATCGTGTGAGACTCCTTTCTGTACAAAGTGTATAACTATATGGCTCGGCATAAATCCTAATCGATGCCCGATGCAATGCAAGAAATTTAGTGAACGATCGTGCCCTCGATTCATTGCCAAAGAACTAGCCAAATTACAGATCTCCTGCATTTATCAATCAAATGACTGCAATGAGGTCAATTATTCTCTCCTTCTCACTTTTTCGTCAATCGTTTGTTTTATAGGTTGTTCCATACGAGGCACTCGATAAACACGAGACACATTGTGATCATCAACCTCAACAATGTTCTGGTTGTCAATTACAAATGTTAAAAAGTGACTTAAGTGAACATGAAATTCATTGCTCATTGATCGAATTGACATGTGCTGATTGCAAAATTGTTTATAAGCGATGTGATGCTACTATACTTCACACTGATGTAATCTGTTTGAAAGAGCAACTCCGACAATCACAAGAAAAAAATCAACAACTCAACGAAAAAATCAAACGAAATTCACAAGAACACGAGCGAGAATTGAAAAAGTTTCGTCACGATTGTGAAGACCGCATTCTGCAGCTCACTGGAATGCGAACACTCTGGCGTAAGTTGAATGTTAGTAAGCAACACTTTCGACAATAGAATCTTTAAGTGTCACACTGGTGTTGTAATGATCTAATGAGATCGGAAAATCTTAAGTACGTTTCAATTTTTCGAGATACGAAGTTTATACCAGATCTCTATCACAGACAATATAGTTCACCAGAATTAAGACTACGGCAATGCTGTTAAAATGAGTATTTCAATCATTATCTCTCACATAAAAATATGAGTTCCAGCGTATATTTCACTGTTGTTGTATTAATTCACGTGGAAGACTAATTTCTATTGTTCATCTACTGTAGTTTGAACTGCTGAGATGAACATTCGCTTAATTTCTTTTCATGATCATTGATCAATAAGAATTTTTCTTATATTACAGCTCGCTCGTTTCCAAATATTCGTATCAATGCCACATGGACACAAAATGCTCTCACTATTGCTGGAGGTCAAGGTGAAGGCAGTTCATTAAATCAACTCTCTCGTCCTTTCGGTTTGTATGTGGATGATGATCAAACTCTTTTCATCGCAGACTGGGGTAATGATCGTATTTTGGAATGGACGTATGGTGCAACAAGTGGTCAAGTGGTGGCCGGTGGAAACGGCCGAGGAAATCGAACTGATCAATTGTGTCATCCAACAGGTGTGATTGTTGACAAAGACACAGACAGTCTCATAATTTGTGACATGGAAAATCGACGAGTAATGCGCTGGTCTCGTCGAAATGCCACAAACCAAGAAACAATACTCGACAATATCGATTGCGCTGAAGTGGTGATGGATGATGAGAAATCTCTATATGTGTCTGACTGTCAAAAAAATGAAGTAAGACGATACCAATTGGGAGACACACAAGGAACAGTGGTGGCAGGTGGCAATGGGAAAGGCAATCATCTTAATCAACTCTATTTTCCTACCTATCTCTTTGTTGATCGAGATCAGTCAGTGTACGTGTCAGATACATATAATCATCGCGTGATGAAGTGGGTTAAAGGTGCGACGGAAGGGATCGTCGTAGCTGGTGGTCGAGAAAGTGGGGCTGATTGGACACAATTGTCAAGTCCTAACGCAATAGTCGTCGATCAGTTGGATAGAATCTACGTGGCAGACTTAGGCAATCATCGAGTGGTACGTTGGGGCAATGGAGTAATACAAATCGCTGGCGGAAACGATGTTGGAACACAAGCAAACCAGTTGAACAGTCCTTCAGGTTTGTCATTCGATCGATATGGCAATCTTTATGTCATTGATCACAATAATCATCGCGTTCAACGATTTGACATCGAACCGAATTGATAGTGTTTATCGATGAAATTTAATTTGATAAACGATCGTTTTTTCTTTGTTCATTTTAGTGCTGTGTCAAGTCATGAAATTGTAATAAAAGACTTTGATTAAACGATACATTGTCTTGTTGAAACATGTAACTCGATGATGCACTGTTTTCTGCAGATAATTATTTTCCAACTGATTTAAATAACAAATACTACACTATAAAATTCACTCTGGTAATTCCGTTCAATTTATGAAGGCAGAGGCATGAGTTTGATCGTGGCGTGTCGGTGAAGAGAGTACCATGACACCCTTACGTTCACGTCCATATCTCACATCCTTATCCAAGTCCACATCTTAATTCTTCATTGGTTTCCAACCCATTTTCATGTTGATTTTTCTTCACTTCTGCATGAGAGCACTTTCAATAGAAAAAACAAAGGATTATTGAATAGTAATAAAAACATGGCGAACATAATGAATTGAGGATAATGAAGGAAAATGAAACACAAGATAGATAGCAAGAAACTAACGACAGCTCGAATCAGTGCGACTGAAAAAAGAAAAGAAAATTTTCTTTTAAAAATTATAATCTTTTCGACACTTTCAAGTCTCTTTTGCATTTGCTTGAATATTTTCAATAGAAAAAAGTACAAACAGAAATAAGCGAAGGAGGTTAGCTACGACGGAGAAAAGTCATTTCTTTACACTCTTTCCATTTGTTTTAATCTGAAGCAGATAAGATGAAAAATATATGTATTCGAAAAGAAATATTTACCAGATTCACACAATAGTTTTGGGCAGTTGTTGTATTTTAATAGACAATGCCTAAATATATAATCTTACTCATCATTGGTAACTCACATTTGAATTTCAGTCGTATGTAATGAAAATTCTTATTTAGGAACAAAGGCATTTATAGAAGTAAAATGTGACCTTCAAATGCGAGTAAATATTATTCATATGGCCACAAACACCTGATAGATACACCCATGGAATACTAATAAGGAGTTTGTAACTCTCTTTTTACTCAAAACTTGTGACTTGATTATTAGAAATTAGTCTATACCTGATATATTGGAGCTGTAATGAAAGAGAAAGCTGATCATATGTTGAGTCATACGCTAGAATCTCAAGAAACCTTCGATACCAATCTTGCTTGATTTTATTCGGTAAAAAGTTATGAGAAAAAGTGCATTCTTTTGAACATCTTGAACAAGTCAAAAAATGCAATTGTTGACATTGATCAAATCGATGAAAACGATAAAAACATATGAAAGAACCGATTCTGCATAATTTGATGATTGATACAGACTCTGTCAATTTAGTTTCTACTCCAACGAACAATCAAGTCAAACGTTGTTTTCAAAAATGTAGCAATAAACAATTTCACAACATATGCAATAAAAAAAGAAAACTTTCAACTCATTAGGCTTTCGTAAAAATTCGTTTGTTACAATTGTATTTTATTGTTTGATTTAAGTTATAATGATTTGACAGAAAGCTTTGTCAACCAAAAGATTGACTTGATTCAAAAAAGAAAAATAACAGATGTTTTCCATTTTAACTCAATTTCAATGCAAACTGAAATCACAACAATGATGTTCATCTTGATTTTGATGCTTTTCAGAGAGATTTCACAAAGGTAAGTTTTTTTGTCTGTTTCAAATTCAAATTTGTTCGACTTGATTTAGTTCCACCGTCTAAATTGCCTTTCATGTCTTTTCATTTCAAAAAAAAAGCAAATCATTAAATCGATTTAAATTGAATAGAACAGAAGAATTTCAATTAAGATCTATTAGATTATTTTTCCTCTTTCCACACTCAGACAGTTCCGTCATTTAACAATGATTAGCTACTGTTTTCACGTCATGCGGGATTTTCTGAAGATTTAGCATTATACACATACCTACGCTCACGCCTACAGTAATATTCACCCACACTAGTTCTACGCCTACATCATACCGCTACAATAACACTCTCAATGTAAATTATTAGTTAGCCACGCTCATCGAATGCAATCGTTTTTGATAAGAAATGTTTTATTGAATTTTCAGATTAAAATTATATCAACAATACGAATCGAAAATATGTCGATAGAGCTCTGAAAAGTGCACATTTCAAGTTAATGAAAAATTGCATAGTTGTCGAAGCCATATTTGAATTTGTTGCGGCAAAAAGTACTTATTAGAAGGATAGAATGTTCTCGGTCACCGTGACATACCTCTTCAGTGCTGCAATAAATTTGAAAAATATTCCGATGGAAGTCGTTTCTCGATTACTCTTGAACATTTTATAGAGACTTTCAGGTGACCGTTCGTAAACACGATAGAGTTCAAGCATACCGTCACCATTAATACCTTTCAATATTGGTAATAGACTCCTTAAGTCATTGTCGATGATAAAATCTATGACTTGCTGCTCGTTCCAATAATTGATTCGACCACCTAAACGATATTCAGGTATAAGTGATCGATAAGCATGTGATATTAATTGCTTGTCATTGTGCATTCGAGAGACTGAGCGTTTGGGTGCTCTAGCTAGATGTTCTTACGGTCTCATTCCGATAAAAGAAAACATTCAAGAAAAACGGAACTCACCAGGCTGATAATCCGAGACTCTCATGTTTCTAATAACAGTTGCATTAGTCCTTTCATCTTCCATGTCTTTGCTGTAGACGGCTTGCATGTTGTCGTAAACAATAAATATACCAACGGAATGACAGAGAAGAAGATAGTGAAGTTAAATCTTCAAGTTGATAAGAACTGGTGGCTGGTCCAAACGGTTTCAAACGCATTATTGAAATGTTGCTCACTCTGATTATCGATGAAAGGAACGAGAAGACTTTCATAAGGACAAGATGAAATTCATGAAAGAAAAACTTCCAAAATGGGCTTGCTTGAATATCATGAAGAGCAAAAGTCTGAGATCGAATTAAATACAATTTAATTCACTTGTCAAACCGTAGAGCAATGATGGCCTTCAAGCTCACATTTTTATACCTTTATAGAATAAAGAGATAAAGAACACTGATAATAGTGATGTAAGCAAACTAGTGTCAACAAAAACACAAAGATGTATTATTTGAAGGTGACGGCGTATCCGTATACGTATTGATTACGCTTCGCTCAAAACCTCATGCTCATAAGTGAAGTGTCGCTACTAGTTTTATATACTTGAGAATTGATGCCCAAAATCCGAAACTTTCATTATATATTCGTGAGCTTCACTAGTTGTTCTATTCTCTCATCGTGCTTTAGAGTCTTTCTAGATTTGAGTATGCTTGGAAAGCCCGAAAAATGCGATTCACTCTCTTCGTCTATGTCTAACTACTCATCTGCTCAAATAGGTAAGATATGTAATGAACGAATGTCATGGTATTTGAGGGTACTCAATGCAGATTTCGGTCAAACTAATCGTTCGTATCTGTGTAAATCTAGTCGAGCATATGCTCGCTTGAGCTGTGAGAAAGAGCGATTGATAACTTTCTTGTTAGCTACACTAGCATCCATTTATCATCTATTTGACGTGATGTCAGCCTTTAGAAAAATAGAAATTGATTATTTTTGGAACAAAGCGTTATTCTCATAGACGATCACTTTCAATTCTTATATAATTCGACACTCCATATTCTACTATCAAAAGGATTTAAGTACTTCACCCAGTTTACTTAACAACAAGTTACATGTCAACTTGATAGTAGACTTCTTTACATATCCGTGACATCCATTCCGATCGGACTTGTGCATTCCAAAAAAAAATCAACGTCTACTACTGTTGTTGCTGCAAAACCATGAAAAGTGTCAGTTACTCATCGACCTCTTGAAGACTTGACCAATTATATTTTTTTCTATTCAGATAAGTAAGGCCATATTCAACTATACTCATCCATATGTCTTGTAGATATTATCTGCATTTGTACCACGATGTTCTTCCTACCGACAGTGAATTTGAAATATAAACATGATTATTAGATTAGTACAGTGTTCTTCAGCAATCTTCTCAATGCTGTACATTTGGAAAAACGATTTGATAGACTGAATAAAGGAAGTCGAAACCTGTTCGTAGGAAAGAATACACGGATCCCATGAAAAATCTCATGAGTAACATCGTATGTGGTATCTTGACCGAATACAAATCAATCTCATTTCAATTATTGGAATTACTCTTTGCTTCTATCATCGATGTAGAAACAGTAAAATCAAAGGAAAAAATCCACTTTTGCTGATCACTTATATGGTTAATTTTCTTATTGATTCTTTTTGAAACAACCATTAATGATGTCCGGGGGTCAGTCGTATTTGACGTAATTCGTGTAGTTTTTCTTTGATAGTCATCGATGTATAGTGATAATTTCGTTTTTGATAGTATTTCAAAATAGTTCTCATCACTTTAGATACGGAAATAATGCATTCGCGTACGAAGACCTGTTATGTATTCGACGAACTCTGTCACATTTCAGAACCAATTGTGGATGAATTGATCTCAAGTATCAAAAGTCAATTGATATAATGAAAACAAATTCGTGCTCTTTGGTTTTGTTGTCTATAGACACTAATTTTACGCTTTGAATAGAAAACATTGTCTTGATGTAGCGAAGATTGTTGCTTATGTCAGCAGTTTGCCTAACAATGATCTGGAGTGTGGGTGTCATGGGTATTATCAAATGTAACATTTACTTTTTAATATTGTGATTTATCTCATTGCCTTGACTTCCAAAATCACAAACGCAATTTAACATTGATTGAACGATGTGGCTGTGTGTGCGAATGCAAGTGAAAGCAATAGGCATACCCACACCCTTTGAAACTATGCAAATTTTTGTATTGATCTCATTGTCCGAAATGTATGATCGATCCATACTAGATCAGATAGACTCATCCGAGGATTTATCAGAAAATAAATTTGAGACGAGCAGATATGATGAGCACGAGCAATTGGATGAATCAAAACAAGACAGAGACACACATTCAGACTCGAAAGAAAAAATAGAAGAAAGTAATGGACAACCAAGACAAGAAATT